TCACAGGTATAGGATACTTTACCCTGCCATTACTGGTCCATACTGGTGTACAGTGTGTTCATTGCTGTGATTGGAATGAGTCAGCATTAGAAGGACTGAGGAGAGGACTAATAGCTAATGATATTAATAATGAGAGGTGTGTCATCTAACCTCAAGGACCAATCTTTTAGCAACAAAATGAATCTTTGTATAGAGTCTGGTATACCTTGGACGAAGAGTTACAGTCCCACAAAAACGAGAGCTGTACAGGGCGCCATTTTTGCGGTAAACACACATCAAACTGTGAAAAGTGGCACACGTGATCCAGTTTCCAATCCTCCCCTTGTTCCATTATCTATGGTAGGATAATCATCCTAGAGCTTAGTGCACAATTGGATAAGCAGCATTATTTCTGATTATAGCAGTGTTACTGTTTTCTTGTTGTGATAAATACCATTTTCCATTATACTGATGGCTGCTGAGAGGATTGATGAACTGTTAGTGGAAGTGAGGGAAAGTAAGGGAAAGTGAGGGAAAGAGTTAGACTGTTTTGGGGGGGGGGTTGCAACCCCACAAACCCCCCCCCTAGATCCGCCCCTGGCTATTGTGATTGTGATACTGTTATTTTAACTATCATTATTGTGTATCATGTGTGCATGGAACATATACAAGTATATTTAAATGATAATTGACAATTTACAGCTACAATCATCTTTCAATGAATGGCTACTTCTAATGGTAGAGTGTTGTGAGTAAGGAAGGTTTTTATACTGCAGCTTAATTGCTTCAAGGTTTGTCACTGTCCCTGTTACATGTGAATATGTTTTCAGTATAGCAGGACAGTGTTTCTTGAACTTTGCATTAAGGACTAGTACATGTATAATGTTAAGTTACAAATTAATATTAGATGCATTGCTTGAGTACAATGACTGAATACTTGAATACATTGTATTCCACATGTAAACCCTATGGCTAAACTATCATGATATGTTCACTATTGTGGCATTAGAGCTAGCTAATATATTACTATCACCCAGGCCTACTATTGTTATTACTATCATTGTTTTATGTACAGGTATAGGATACTTTACCCTGTCATTACTGGTCCATACTGGTGTACAGTGTGTTCATTGCTGTGATTGGAATGAGTCAGCATTAGAAGGACTGAGGAGAGGACTAATAGCTAATGATATTAATAATGAGAGGTGTGTCATACACTATGGGGACAATAGAAAAGTAAATACTATTTAAGTATAATTAAGAATAGAACTACATGTACATGGACACTAGTAATAATAATGCTGGTAATACTGTACATCAAAGCCTAGCTACCTCCATTAAAATCCTGGTGACTACTGCATTAAGGAAATATAAGCCAATATAAAAGTATAGCAGGAGAACTTGCCTACATGTTTGTACAAGTTAAAGAAAGATAGTCTTTGTTTATTGGTTTACACTGTTTGTATCATACTATGATTCTACTATAGGTAGCTCCATTAAGGATAGCTGATAGAGTATTGTTAGGATTGATACCATCAAGTGAAGAAGGGTGGGCTACTGCAGCTGCCTGTCTCAAACCAGATAAAGGAGGATGGCTACACGTTCATGGAAATGTCACCTCTCACATCACTTCAGCTCCTAATGATGGAAGGAATAGCAGTTGTAAAGTGAAGGAGTCTTCATGGTTGTACTGGAGTAACAGTGTAGCTGTTAGAATAAAGACAATATTAGAATCATT